ATCTGACATGAGGTTGCATATATGTGTGATAATTGCGCTGGGTCTCTGCTTGGCACATGCGAGGACGACCCAAGACCACGTCGAAACAAATCAGGCAATTAATCAGTTAATCACATCGTGGTCATTCGTTACATCCGTACTTTGCTAATATATATAATATATATATATATAGTTATGTAATATGTGTATATATAATACATATATATATATATATATTATGTATATATCTAAGATATCTATATATATTTGTTGTTGTTGGTGTATGATGTATTGATGTATAAACACACACTTGCATGACATGCACTCAACTGAGGGTAGTGTCGCTTCAGTGTCATGCTGGGCCCTGGTTGTTACAATCGCTTCGAAGACATTGTAATATAGTTCTGACATGTGGAATGAATGGTGCATACGCACTCACACCACAGCTCCACGGCTATGTGTCGCAGAACGTAAGGCCCGTGGGGCGTCATTTCCGCTACCGCTTAATGCTGCTCTCCCAACCACTGGTTGGCGGATTGTGGCCAAAGTGGGGCCTGCGAGAAAATCGTGTCTGCCACCGAGGATGGTGTAAGCTAGCAATGAATGCGTGTCTGTAGTGTATTGTACCACCACATGAGAGGGTGCGTGGGTTCGCGCCGGCTTGAGGCAGGTAATGTGTTGTCTGGTAGTTCAGGACTTTCAAGAAGAAGAAGCTGTAATGTGCGCGTGGGTTGCTATCATGTCTAAGTATTTCATGCTGGCCAGAGGACTTCGCCGTAACGGTCATCGGCCTGACACGCAATATCATTTGTATTGACAGTTTGTAACGTCTTTGTCTCATGTCGTATTATGTTATTCATCATTGTCATGGCATGATGTGTCGTAGCCTCCACCACCGGGTTTTTGTGCATGTAATCGTGGTGTATCCCATCACAGTCATCGCGACTGATTGTGCATTGGCATTCACTACTATGTGGTCAATGTTATGGCAATGTTGTGTTATTCAAATCGTGTTGTGCTGTCTCATCATGTCATTGCATGATATGTAATTTATGCAACAAAGTGGTTGTGTCGTGCTGTTTGCATGTCAGTTTGGCTCTGTCAGCGGCCAATGACCTGATGTGTCGTATGTAATATCAAACAGCAGTATACCATCTCTATTACATCATGGTCATAATTACATGTCTTTGTGACTCATCATGTCGATGGAACTATGTGCTTGTAGCCCCCACACGGGAGTTATCTGGTAATCCCACCCCACATCATGGACTGATATGTCATAGCATGCCTCATGTTGTGTCTTACCCATGCATGCCATGATGGCTGCACTATAACCATCAATGTAAGTTAGTATTGTGTCATGTTGTGTCGTGCCATAACCATGTCGCGCCCGTGGAAAACGATCATATGTATAATACAGGCGTGATGTGAGGGGGCCGACTGTCATGTGTCGTCTTACGTTAGCCAACAGCCGTCACACCTCTAGGTGTTATTTATAAGCCTTTTGTACGCTATCGATGAGCGGCTGTTAGTGATTGTGCGGGTTGTGCGCTCCTACGGCCATCGACAGGCCGGAATAGTAGGAATCGTGCAGGTACCGCTCCCGCATCGGCATATATATGTACAGGCTTAATATAATAGGTCAGTGAGTAAGAGCGGTACGAAAGTGTGGAGACGTATAATTTCATGTTCGTGTACATCCGATAATCCGTCTAATTGCTAATTACTGTTAATTGCGTACTTAAATGAATTACTCGTTAGGTAATTAAGTGTTATAAATAGCAATTTCTCCTCTTTTATACTGCCACTGCCGCCGATAGCACCCGTGTGTGGAGGGAGGTTGTCGGCTGAAGCGGCCGCCAGGTGGGAGCAGAGGGTAGGGGAGAGGCCCGCGCGAGTGTTGAGGAACGGTAAGGACGGCTTCGAGCTCTCAGTCTATTTTATTTTATGTATACCACGGAGATTGTAGTTTAGGAGTCCCCCATATTTAGAATGTACAGAATTTGTCTTTTTAACTTAATTTTAGGAGAAGAGGTGTTGCGTAATGTATGGTACCAGGGCAGCCGACGATGTGTTGTGAATGATTTAGAGCGAGAAGAGGAAGGGAGGGTTGGAAGTGGGAAACATAGCCAACTAATGGCTTGGGTTTACAATAGAGGCCGCAACAGTAACATGTAGCGTACCCATACAATAATGAATATTTAAGCTATAAGTATATGTTAATATATATATCAGTATATAGTTGAAAATATATATTAATATGGCCACCGACCTATCTGATTGTCGTGCCGGGATGGTGTGTACCTGAACTGCACGCATCCACCCCCGAGAACAAAATAGTTGTCTTCTCTCTGGAAGAACACAGTGTGCTTTACCAATGTTTTAGGCATGCTGTGTACTACTACTGCCAGTTTTTGTACTGTCCTGGCAACATTCCACGTGAAAATAGCTATAATTAAATAAATCTTATGATAAATCTTTCTATTACTTTCGTGGCCTAACGAGTTTTGTTCTTATTAAAACACGTGTACTGAGAAACGGTGACATAGACCTATGCAGTGTAAAATATTTTATATGAACAGTGAAGATACACATGCATATCCAATAAATTCCATACTTAACGTTAATGAGCCACATGCCTATGAGAATTCTGTTTTGACAATTCCGTCGGGAATAAACTTCAAATAATAAATTATAAGCGTATTAGAATTATACTTAATCGAGATACCGTTGAACAAACCGTGTCCTGTGCATGAGCGACCTTAGCATGCATCGAGTCGTTACGCCAGATCAATCGGCGGAATGTTGTGCTTCAGAAATAGTGAGAAAATGACAAAAGCTTAAATACAGAAAAAGATTAATGTTTACAATGATTTCCTTCTAACAGAGACGATTTCTAGACGGTAGGATATATAATATACAACACTTTTTATGAGAGCGAGATGGTGCGCGCACCAGGGCACAGCAATTCTGGTGCCGGTGGAGGCGCGAGCGCGATCGCGCCCTTAAAAATGAAAGCTTGAAAACATATATATATATATATAGCCTAGGCAATATATCGGTGAATGAAGAATGTAATCATTGCCACTCACAGCATCGCATGTTGCGCCATCTAGGGAGCATCCTACTAATGGGCCACTGTCCCTGGCCACGTCATGACGAGGCTAAACGATAGAACATGAGAAAAAACCCCGCAAAAGCCGTAATAAAATAAACTAAAAAACGCCCAAATCGGGGTCAGTGGTTGTGGGGGACAAACAGATTGGGCGCAGCAGTTTTCTGGGTCGTGAGACTCAGGGCACGCACATTATACATATACACATGCATATACGTATATACATATACATATACATAATACTATATATATATATCTATATATATATATATATATATAATATATACATAGATATATATACTATATAATATATATATATAACATATATAATATTACATTATATTATACATATATATAGCATAATATCGTATTATATATAATTTTTTTCATTTATTTAAATATAAAATAATATATATATATATCATAATATGTGTGTGATATAGGCCTATGTATGTATACACACACACATATATAGTATATATAATTATATATATATATATTGACGATCAGTATCTCTGCAGACATTAATTGGTCAGTTGACCAGCGGTCATCATGCGCCGCCGGCCACACCGCTCTTCTTGACCGGTGGCTGTTTTTTCAATGCATTTTCTCCTACCGCTTTCGCAACGCCAGGCGCCGCCACGCGGGACACACCAGGTGGCGCCACCGTCGTCACGTTTGGCAGCGCGTTGTAGGAACCCTTCAGTTTCTTAATGTATTTCAGAACGCTCTCTTTCATACGCGCGCACATAGATGGCGCCACGTCGAACTGTTCGTGCCACTCGCTCGCAGCCACCGTCAGCGCCAGTCGTGGCTCCTTCTTCTGCAGACAGTACGTCGAGACGTCGGCGAGCAGTTCCCGGAAGTAGTCGACCTCCTCGTGGAAGCGCGGCTCGGCTGCGGCTCGCCGCCACAAGGTGGCGTTGAAGTGCGCGTACAGCACGTAGTCGACGGGGCTCCAGTCGCGGTACCGACGCTTGTTTCGCTGGTCGATAGGATCGCTCGCGTTCGGCTTGCCGACGCCCTTGTTGTACTTGCGCACGTTCTTCGACACGTACAGAATGCTGTGTATCGGCCAGCAGAGGGCGCGGCGCAGCAGCACGAGCGACTCGTCGAAATACTCGGTGATCATGACGAGCGTGAAGTCGCGCTCGATCTCCGCGATGAACTCAAACGCCTTGGTGACGTTGGCGGCAGCACCGTCGCGCTCCGGCGGGTAGCCGAGGTCAAACGCGAGGAAGTTGGGCAGGTAGCTTAGCTTCAGCTCGCGACGGAAGCGCTGCGGGTCGCTGAGAAACAAGCCGAAGTTCTCGTCGACGGGCAGCGTCGAGATGTTGCGGTCGCGCATCTTCGCCGGCAGGTTGAAGTAGTTGAACGTCGATTTAAACTGCGAGTACGGCTCGCGCAGCACGGTGACGTAACGCGTTGCCGCCGGCATGAGGCGACGCATGATGCTGCGGTTGTACAGGCAGTGGTAGGTGAGCAAGTTGAACTCGTTCGTCTTCAGCGGTAGGTAGTCGCGTTCCCGTAGCGTGTGCGGCCAGTGTAGGTCCCACTCATGCACGGGCAGCACGAACGATAGGTTGCGCTCGTCACCGAACCTCTGCAGCGAAATGAGAGTAATGAACGGCTTATACGATAACAAGCGACACTATATGAGAGAGAGAGAGAGAGAGAGAGAGAGAGAGAGAGAGAGAGAGAGAGAGAGAGAGAACACACCCCCTCCAACTCCCGGAATTCCAGTTTATGAGCGATGCGCGTGTGATGTATATCGGCGACTGCGCATGCAGGTACGTCCGTCGGCGACACGCGTTCGCGTGAATCGGCGAGACCTAGTTTTTATCCGATCAGTTATAGTTACACGTAATTAGTGAGGTCCTGTTTCGCATCGCCTCAGTAAGCGTTCGATAAAAGTGTCGCACGGAATCTGTACAGCCAGCTCTCTACCGGTATACGGGTGCCCGCACGCACACGCGAGCGCACGCACACGCGGACGCACGCACACGCGAGCGCACGCACACGCTAGCGCACGCACACGCGGACGCACGCACACGCTAGCGCACGCACACGCGGACGCACTCACACGCAAGCGCACTCACACGCTAGCGCACGCACACGCGAGCGCACGCACACACGGGCGCACGCACACGCGAGCGCACGCACACGCGGACGCACGCACACGCGAGCGCACGCACACGCGGAAGCATGCGGAGCGCTGGTGGTGGTCTAACTATAACCATGAACGCATCCATATACTGTATACAATATGTAGAGATATTCATGCTATATAGACGGGCTATGTATTGTCATCGCGCTCGTAGGCGTTGCGTTCGTGTTGGGTTTATAGTATAGTTACAGCGGCTGTATCTGCAGCAGCGACAAGCCTTGGGGGCTAATACTCAGTACTGCTCTACAACACACGTGCCAACGTCATCAGAACTGGTTTCGTCGTTCCCCGACCCGTCTGTCAAGACGATGACGTCATGAAGCAATTTGTGGCCGCGAGGAGAGCGTCCCCGCCGGATGACCCAGCCAACGCTGAGCGTGCCACCAGGAGGCGTGACACGTCGGCGAAGCTTACGTGATGAAGGTATTGCACTCCAAAGTCAGCCCTGTGATGCGGTGAAATATTTTAGATCTTCGGCGTCTGTTTGCAGACGTTTTGTGTTTTTATACCTCGGAAATGTAATATGCTGTACGGAATTTAATATCGGAAACTTGCTCTATTCGCGGCAATGGTTGTTTCTTTCCGTGTGTATTCGTGTGACCGTCTACGCGTACGCGACGCCTGTCTTTTAGCGTAAAACAAATAAATTATCCCTTTAATGCGTGTCGCAAAATCGGTTTACTAAAGAAATATGGACGAATTTTTATGTCGATTAAATATCTGTTGTGCAATGTAGCTTGTACAGCTGTTGTGACTGATGGCATTGTTCTGAAAGTAATTTTGTCTGATTTATTAGAATTTTAACATTCTAAAACAGTATAGATATTCTAAAACAATATCTCCCCCTCCCTCCTAATCGCTGTCGCACCCCTCACTACCCCGGATCCTCTAAATCATGGAACAATTACCCCCCCCCATCATCAATATTGTCACGACTAAATCTGATATAATTCTCCTTTACAAGTAAAAGATAACACTCTCGCTCTATACGCTCTCTGAGTATATAGTTCCTTTCAGCCGGGGCCACTTCACCGATGTCCGCGCTGCATGCTGGCCTAGTGTTCCCGCTATGCATCTGTGCATGTAGGTCATGTATGGGTGGTATGCAAACACATAACATGAGATCTCTGTCACGTACGTACGCGCCAGCTCTCTCTTTCTCACACTCTTGCTCTTCGAGAACAGTAACAATGTTGATTGATATAATAGCCGAGCTGCTGCCGCGACACAGTTTCTCAAGGAGCTTACAGAGGGGAGCAGCGGCTACTGCGCATGCGCAGTCTCGTCGCATCGACGAGCACTCGACTGACGCGTTCGGATTTCAAACGGCATTTTTTCATCTCGTTCCGAGTATACCTTTTAGGCGAGCAGTGTAACCACTGTGCCCTCCAGTAATCGCACTGTGCTGATCGGAGCTGCGACAGCTCTCACCGTAGCCTACTAATGACGATGATATAGATAATGGCTATACTACTATAATGACCATGCGTTGATTGGAACAGCAATTACTCGAAAGAAAAGAAGACAGCGAGAGGTGTGCGAGAGAAAATGTGCGAGAGTTATAACGAGAAGGAAATAGATGGAGAGAAAGGGAAGAGCGAGCGAGCGAGAGAGAGAGAGAGAGAGAGAGAGAGAGAGAGAGAGAGAGAGAGAGAGAGAGAGAGAGAGAGAGACAACACGTTGGAAGTGAGAAACAGAAATTGTGAGAAAGACCTTACAGATGATCAGAGGCACGTAATCCAATCCGTAAGACCAAAACAATCCCGTATAATAATATGGCAGGAGCGTGGAACAGATGTAGAGGCAGTCAGGCAAGCTGCTGGCCGCATCCCACACGCGTGAACGGGCAGATGTCATCTTAGAGAAGGCACCCCCTCTACACACACACATACATACACACAGGCGCACACACACACACACACACACACACACACACACACACACACACGCTAAGCTCTCACCTGTTTAGATGGCTATTCTTCGTCTGCGATGTTAGCTGCAGACGATCGTATCTGTAGAACAGCGTCAGACAGACGACGTTCAATGCGACGCTGACGCAAAACAGCAGCTTCCTCCGCGTGATCATGACGCTGACGCAGTTTGCTCGACTGTGTATTCAATTATATATAATTATATTACTATATATCTAGAGGCACTCGCATGGGTGCGCACCAGACGTGTTCCTGGCACGTCTGTAATAGATAGCGACACTCGAAAACTTCTTATATCCGAGGTGCCATTGTTGATATGTAACACCAGGAGGCGCTCTCGTAGCAGTCATACACTGGATATTGTTCGCTTGTGATTTGGGCACACGATTAAACCTTTTCACACACTCCGGTTTATCCTTGTGACCATTAACTCTGCCCTGACATTCTGTTTCTATCTCATACTGCGTGTTTTCTTTCCCCTATCGCGCGCTCACTTTCTCTCGCTCTCTTTCTGTCGCTCCGTGTGTCCCACTTTCTTCGCGATGTTTCAATCACTGTCTCGGTGGCGTTACATCAATTAATCCTCATAAAACTTTATCCCAGCGCATAGACACATGTACTCGCTCTCACGCTCTCGCTTCTCTCTCTCACTCTCTCTTACTTGCGTTGTCTCTATCAGCGTGTTTCTGGGATTAATTCAATCACTGCATTCCGTGGTTGACAACTTGAGTGATGGGTCTACGACCCTTTTCAAGATAACTTGTAGATGTAGATGTCTCTATCACGTAATATGTGGCTGCATCGATCACTCAACTTCTGATTGTCTCAATTAATGGCTCCGCGTTGATGCTTCGACGACTCTACTTGTCGTGATGTCTATAGATCTGTCCGCGCATACCAACGTTGTTGCCTCGGTCACTCTCCCTCTCCGTTGCTCGCCTTACACAGTGGCACACATTCAGCTACCATTGCTAGACCGCACTACGTACACTACCAGCTTACGCACTCGCACTATACACGCACGCAGCTACCGAAAACCAGTCGTCACACAACACTGCTCCCTGAGGATGGATGGATGGATGGATGGATGGATGGATGGATGGATGAATGGGCGGACGGACGGACGGATGGATGGATATAATTATAGAGGCACATAGTCAGTCAGCCAGCCAGCCAGGCAAGGCAGGTAGGCAGGCAGACAGCGAACGAAAGACAGGGAGAAAGAGAGCTAGAGAATGAGCGATAAAGAGAGAGAGAAAAAAGAAGAACAACAAGAAGAAGGTGAAGGAGAAGAAGAAGAAAAAGAAACTCGGAAGAAACTAGCACTAAAAACGAGCACAATCTTTGAAGCGGAACACCTTTCTACTCAGGCCATAACACGTCTACGCTGAAACGCTATGTACCACTGTGTGCACACGCTGTGCCACGGCTACGCTGATACGCCCCAGGGCCGTAGCCTGCGGGGGGCAAGGGAGGCAGCTGCCCCCCTAGATTTTGGAGCAAAATTAAAAAAATAAATTGTTCTACGAAAAGAGAATTGTCGTAGTCAGAATGAAGGCTGTAAATGTACTCAAAAGTGCCTCAAATACCATCTCCTGCGATCTACATTTTCAAAATTTTCTGTCGGAGGACTCCCAGACCCCCCACCTGTTTCTCACCCCCTTCTTGAATTCCTGGATCCGCCACTGCCCCCCTTGCTCAACCTGCGGCCCTGCTCTATAGTCGAGTGCCTGCACTACCGGTCTGCACTACGCCGATACGCCTAGTAACAACCAGTGACGCAGGGACATCCGTATAAATGATCACCTAACGCCTTCTAATAGACTAATACCCTGCGATCACATGCGATAGGTCATCGTTACATTGCTAATGAGAGTCCTTATTACAGGAAAAGACGCGCAAGACGAGGAAACAAGGCGAGAGAACGGGCGACTAGGGTGGCGCATGTACGACACGACCCGGTTACTATATAACGAGTTACACACGTATAGACCCACATTTCCGTATAGTCTGTACTGTATACCTGAAATAGCACGGCTAGTGTGTCACTGCCTGCTTTGTGCACCTTGACGAACACAAAGTGTCGCACTTCGCTGCACGTGTCCTTGCGCGTGTGGCCGACGGTGGTCAGCGCCACCTGGCGGGCTGCTGTAGTCGCGATCGACGATGGAAGCGGTTGAATCGAGGTGCTGACGATGTTCAGAGGATTCCTGCGCAACAAACAACCGCAATTAGATTTTAATGAATCTTGAATGCATTATTAATCTTGACGTGATGCGGCCATGATGCCGAGGCGCGCCGAGGATTGACACTTTGTGCCTTCTAATCACAGCCTATACGCCGTACCAGTGTTTTATATTTTTAAATATGGGGACCCATTGGACCACCAAATTGCCGATCTCAGGAACAAGGGCATTCTGCTAGGCTAGAACGGTTTCCTACGATAGAGTTTGGCACAAATACGAGAATAACATGCTGTTTAGCGCACTGCGCTACGTCCTTCTGTTGCATTTTTGCATCTCCGTAATCAGAATAAGCCCCGCCTTCTTCGTTGATAGACATAAATGGGGCGTCACCGACGTGACCAGTTACTGTACCTACTGTCTTTCGCCAGCCTGTTTACTTTTCGTAAATAATAAAATGCCCGGCCGATGCATTTCTCATCGAAGTGGAACATTTTCGGCATTTTCACTCGCTGTCGGAAGTAAACGAATGCGTCATTCATTGAACATTAAAGTTTTGCTTCAAATAAAATAATTCCGAAAATATCTAACCGCGCTACTCGATTGTTTTAGCCAATGAACGTATCTGTGTGTGTGACGTCTTGCCCGTACTTTATGCTTGGCTTAGCGGGCATTGAAATAGATATCGGAGGCAGGCACCTCGCAACATGCGTGTTTGTTTACATATAGCTTTGTGACGTACGGTGTTTGGGAGTTCTGCGATGATAACCTCGTAATTTCTCCTAATTCCGAAAAACACAATTTTGCTTGACAATTTCATGGGCCATTTCAATTAGAAGTTCTGCATAATGGACCCCCAACAAGCCCTTTGACTGACTAGTCAAGAAATTCAAAGGTCTGTATATTGCTCTTATTTAACCGCCGATAGTTCTTATTTAGAACAAAGTCTTCATTGTTATCTTCTAAAACAATGGAAGCAGGGATGCAGGGATGCAGGGAAGCAGGAATGCAGCGAAGCAGGGTGCTGCGCCGACAGATGTGCTGCGCCGACAGATGTGCTGCGCCGACAGATGTGCTGCGCCGACAGATGTGCTACGCCGCAGCAGGCAATTAGTTTATTCCTTCCGTTTCTTGTTCAACCGCAGGATATCTCAAATGAGCTGACGTAATGCCGCCGACGTCGTCTGTTCATCCGCCGATGTCCGCTGAGACGACGGATTTCCAACAATTTCGGACAAACATTTTCAGTCTGACGAACCGAGTGCAAAACGTTTTTGCTTCGGGGGGATCGATCTAACATTTTAATGATTTTAATTTTATAATTTTAATAAAACGATAAAGAAGTGTACTTTTTAATGCTGTGTAAGGAATAGCTGTCCGGTGACTTTAAACATTGATTTGTTTACTGTTAAGAAATGAATGAAGTGTTTTTATTAGTGGAGCCTTTATACCCGCGCGCATGTGAAAGGTTACACTTCCACAATTTCATTTCAAATGCGAAACGTAATTGCACGAGATTCATTTTGATTTAATCATATTAATTGAACGAGATTTATTCTGATTTAATCATATGAATTTTACGAGCTTCATTGCTTAGCTTGGATTCTATAGATATCATATTGGTGGGGCTACTATGAGTCGGACGGCTCTCTTGCCCCCTTGCCGCCATGCGTCTATGAGTCGTGCGGCGGCGACAGTTAAATACAGTTAAATACAGTTAAATATAGCACTCACAATGCCCTGTTTCGGCAGGGCAGATATGTTGCCGCAAGGACACGTTAATTCGTCACAGCTGGTCAGGTGTAGTCTAGCGATTCGTAGCCATTTTTTTGCCACGCGATCAATATAGAATTCCTTACTTTATGGTGCATCTACACCGCCCAGAGTACTATAACATTGCAAAACATTAACGCGCAGGACACGAACACGCTATTAGCCGCGTTCACACGTAGCAAGAAATCCGATATTTAGCATTCACACGAGGCAAAATGCGCGGTCCAAGAAATACGGTATCTAAACAGATCCGGTATTTCATGTAAATACGCGGCTTCCCAGACCCCGAATAATTTGCCGTGCTTGAGAAATACCGGATCTCTTGGACCGCGCATTTCCTCGTGTGAACGCTAAATACCGTATTTCTGAAGCCGCGTATTTTATAGACTGGTCCGCGCTCGACAGTTTCAGTGTAATACGAGTAGAACTGTCGAGCGCGGACCAGTCTACGTATTTTATCGACAGTTGCTGCGCATTGCATTGTTTATTTCGCATTGATTGTGAGCAGCTCGCTGCTTGCAAATACCGTATTTCTGGAGCCGCGAATCAGCGTGTGAACGCTCGGCCGCGTATTTGTCTCAGATTCGGTATTTCGCAAATACCGTATTTCTGGAGCCGCGAATCAGCGTGTGAACGCTCGGCCGCGTATTTGTCTCAGATTCGGTATTTCGCAAATACCGTATTTCATAAATACGAGGTCTCGTGTGAACGAGGCTATTATGAATTTAATCTTAACCAGATGTTACTATTGAACCCGTCATGCCGCAGCAATTTCCGTTGTTATAATAGCGCTAGCGCGAACAGAAATATAATCTCATGACTATGTGCAGTATCGAATGCCATCCATCGTTCCTTTCTCCCCGATTGCTTACTCCAACATCCCATTTGTTTTCTCCACCGACAGACCTGAAATAAGCGCAGGCGCACTGCGGCTCTAATCTCATGACTTGTCGCTTTCACTTATCAATAACAAGCAGGTGTAACAGCCACGTACTTATCAGTCACAAGCATGTGTAACAGCCACGTACTTATCAGTCACAAGCATGTGTAACAGCCACGTACTTATCAATAACAAGCATGTGTAACAGACACGTACTTATCAATAACAAGCATGTGTAACAGACACGTACTTATCAACTCTCTCTCTCTCTCTCTCTCTCTCTCTCTCTCTCTCTCTCTCGCACGCGCTCTCTCTTTTTCTCTCCTCTTCCTCCTTCTCCTCTCCCTCCTCCTTCTTCATCACCTACTCCTTCACCTTCGCATTATCATCGTCATATCGTCATCATCGTCATCATCATTATCATCATCATCATCATCATCATCATCATCATCATCATCGTCATCAGCATCATATTCATTACCATCATTATCATCATCATCATCATCATCATCATCATCATCATCATCGTCATCATCATCATCATCATCAGCATATCCATTTTCTTCGCACTCGGAGCAATAAATTAATCCATTTCCATAACCGAATTCCATAAACCTTATTAATGCAACTATCTACATTACAGCCTTTCTGTCATGGCGCCGCGAGCAATTCATCCATGTATGTATAGCGAAGCGTGATTAGCAAGCTAATATAGGCATTGGCTAATTAGAAATTGCAATGTCATCATCCGCTCTATTGCATTATTCATTTATTCATTCAAATTATCCATCATTTTTGTTGCAAGGCACAGCATATAATTATATGCTTAATGCAAATATTCTTCCTTAATTAATTCTCTTGCAAAAAGATTTTCGCGATACATGAAAAACAGACATTTTAGTCAAGCCTGCCGTTGGGAGGCAGGCCCACGTGGAATGAAACCACCACCATTTTGTTCAAAGGTATGATGATTGATGCAAAGGTATGATGATGAATTGCAATATGTCATCCGCTCTATTGCATTATTCATTTATTCATTCAAATTATCCATCATTTCTGTTGCAAGGCACAGCATATAATTATTTTATTAATGCAAATATTCTTCCTTAATTAATTCTCTTGCAAAAAGATCCGATACATAAGAAACAGACAGTTTAGTCAAGCCTGCCGTTGGGAGGCAGGCCCACATGGAATGAAACCACCACCATTTTGTTCAAAGGTATGATGAAGGAAGTTTAACTGAAAGGTTTTTATAATATATCTAAATTTAGAGATATTATAAAAAAAACCTTTGAGCTAAAAATAATCTCACGAATTATGTTTCGTTTAAAATCGGGGTCTATAGAGGTATATAGCATAGCATCCTGTACATGTCGATGCATGGTCAGGGGTCGAGTCGCATCGCTGTCACTGCTGCTGAGCATTAAAATCTGTGAGCAAAACTTTATCCTGATTTGATTCAGCCAGCACACGCTGTAGGAATGCGTTATCTCGCAAGCGCCAGCTAGGCTAACAGCATCTCCTATATAACAACGAGAAGTTATAGTGAACAGAGCATGCCACGTAAACTAAAAGCAAAACAGTTACGGAGGCCCTATAGGACGTCTGTACAAATACACCGAGGATTTTATTATTTCACGGCATTCAACTCTGATTGGCTGATTCAGTACCATAATTATATACATCGGGCGGCGGGCACAAGATGTGACGGGTTAGTAACAATTCCTCTCACCAGGTGGCCCAAGTGAGGCGCAAGGACCAGACGAGATATCTCTATATACGGCTCTGTCGATGACATAATTACAGCACGCCTTCTACTGCCTGCTCGGAGATCAACTGTGAATATATGACAACGCAGCGTTCTATCTTGGTGCAAGCAATTCCATTAGATATAATGAGAAACGTATACCTTGATATCACACCGAGTCGTGTTTACTCAATGCATATGCGCTTCCTCTTTATACCTCAGCACCCTAATATGCCACCATATCGATCTTCTGCGTCGGAGCCCACTGAATTATCCATCCTAGTTTCCCATCGCAAATCAACTTTTCCCTTGCTTCCGTCAGGGTTTGGCGAATATCCCTACTCATATATCCGTCATTACGATTACTGTTGATCGTGAAGATTTGTGTCACCTCCGCTGTGCACCTTATTAGGATACATGTCGTGGTTGTTGACACTATATTCATGTCACGCGCATATAATTCACACATCGACCCTGCATGGGTGGCGTCCTTGTTCGCAGCACAAAATCTGTACGGACGATTACTCTCTCTCGTACGAAAAGTTTTGCGTCGCTGCATCCTCCACAGGAGCACTCGCTTAATTGCTAGGCGTTGTCATCCGATAGAGCAGTCTCTGCTGTCGATACTCTGAAAGAAGATTGAGGTGGTTAATTACTTACGGTAAGTCTGCGCCACGTATATATATATATATCAAGAGTACATAATAGAGATTAATAGATAATAATACTCTTGATATATATATAGGGCCTATATATAAATAAATAACGAAATATATATATATATACATATATATGTACATAATACACACACACACACACACACACACTGCAACATAGATGATGGTGTGCGCGTGTGCGTGCTGTGCCGTGTGGCGTGTGTGTGTGTGTGTGTAAGGCGTGTGCGTGTGCGTGTGCGTGCGTGCGTGTGCGTGTGCGTGTGCGTGTGCGTGTGCGTGTGCGTGTGCGCGTGTGCGTGCGCGTGCGCGTGCGCGTGAGCGTGCGCGTGCGCGTGCGTGCGTGGTGCGTGCGCGCGCGTGCGTGCGTGCGTGCGTGTGGTGTGTCAGTCCTCCCTTACGCTCTCGCTCTCTCTCCCCCGCACAGGCGATTCGTACATGGTCGTCTCGGGACTGCCGCAGCGCAACGGCCTCCAGCACGTCGGCCACGTGGCGACGATGGCTCTCGCCTTCCTGCGCGTCGTCGCCGCCTTCCGCATGCCGCATGACCGGAGCGCGTCGCTCGCTATCCGCTGCGGCATGCACTCGGGCGCCGTCATGGCCGGCGTCATCGGGCGACGCATGCAGCGCTACTGCGTCTTCGGCGACACCGTCAACATAGCGTCGCGGATGGCGACGACGTCGCTGCCGATGCGGCGTTCAGATGTCCGAGAGTAGCGTCTGTCTGCT